GATCATGTATTTCTTCGAGTCACTCCGATGACAGGTGTTGGTAGGGCACTGAAGTCGCGCAAGTTGTCGCCGCGTTTCATTGGTCCTTATCAGATTTTGCAAAGGATAGGAGAAGTCGCCTATCGTGTGGCTTTACCACCGTCGCTTGCTAATCTTCATGACGTATTCCATGTATCTCAGTTGAGGAAATACATTGCGGATCCGTCTCATGTAGTCCAAGTAGATGATGTGCAGGTGAGAGATAACCTGACTGTTGAGGCATCACCTATGCGGATTGAGGATCGGAAATTGAAGCAGCTTCGAGGTAAAGAGATTGCTTTAGTAAAGGTCGCTTGGGGAGGACCGGCTGGTGGAAATGTTACTTGGGAGCTTGAGAGTCGGATGAAGGAGTCTTATCCAGAACTGTTTGAATCAGGTAACATTTTCGAGGACGAAAATTCCTAAAGTGGGGGAGGGTTGTAACAGCCCAAATTTCATTAAATAATTAATTATAGTAATTAATTGATTTAGTGGGATTTTATTAATGTTGGAATTAATTTTTATTAATTGGGATTAATAGAGAATTGAGAAGGAAATTGGAAGGAAGGAAAATAAAGGAATTATATAAGAGAGAAAGAAAAGAAAAGAAAGATAGAAAAACATTTGAAAAGAAAGAGGAAAGAAGAAGAAAGGAGAGAAAGAGAAGAGAAGAAGAGGAAAAGTGGAAATCATCAAGAACCAACATCAAAGCTCCGATTAATCGAGGTAAGGGTGAGAAATGTTTCTATTTGATCATTGTATGATGTTATGTATGTTGGGTTAGGGTTTTGGTAGAGTTTCCATCACTTTCCATTTAGGGCAAAACGTTGGATAATCGGTAGATTGAGGATTTAATCGGTTGAAAATGAGTAATAATGCCGTAGAATAGTCGGGTAACATGTATTGATGCTGTTTATACTGATTTGGATGTGTAAGAGAAGGTTGATGATGGATTGGTGAAGGAGAAGACAGAATAGGGTTCTGTTCTGCGCAGGTTCGCTGGCTCTCGCCAGGCGAGCGAAGGCGAAGCCTAGCGAATGTTGGCGAATAATTATATTTAAGTCCCAGTAGACTTCGCTGGTGGGCTCGCCAGGCGAAGTGGGATGGCGAAGGTTCGCCCAGCGAAGGTGCTGGCGAATGGTGGCGAATGAAGTCAGTAGCTACTGGCTTGGGCTCGCTGGGAAGTCTCGCCAGGCGAAGCCTAGCGAGTGTTCGCTGAGAGAGTTCGCCAGGCGAAGGCCAGGCGAAGGTTCGCTGCGAGGGTTCGCCAGGCGAATGAAGGCGAATGTGGCAGTACATTTCCTTTGCTGTGTTATCCAAATGGTGATTGTTTGGTTGATTCGTATATGTTTATACTTCTATGTTATGAATGAGTATGTGAACTATTACGATAACATGTGCTGTGGGTAGCCTTAGGGCGTGAATCCTAGAGTTGTGGATGTTTGATTGTTGTATGCAATTATGTAATGAGTATGCATGAGAACATTTTGAATATGTGTGCATAACTTATAATTGTATGATTGGTATTGTAATGAGAATACCTTGATTGTTGTGATAATTAGAGATACATGGGAATACAATGAGAAATGTATGTGTATCGTCTAATGAATTGCGAGTGCATATATGTATGCGATTGTGGTGTGAATGCATGGGAACATATGTGATATGTGTGCATTGTTGTTGAATATGATGATGTGTGAAATGAATACATTGATAAATGTTTGATATATGTTGTATGTACAATCATTGTGTAATTCTTGAAGTGATGAATTATGTAAATGCATGAGATTAAGATGTCGGTCTTAAGTGCATTTGTTGTGGTTGATTGTACATGCATCATTTAGTCAAGAGGCAATGTCTGTTAGTTTCGTGGAAACTAGTGGCTTGTCCCAAACCTAGAAGTGTGGGTTTGAAGGCTTAGAGGACGGGCCTTTGTGGTTATCGGTCTAGAAGTGTGGACCCAGTTTAATGTAAAAACCGAAAAAAGATAACGGGTTATCGGTCTAGAAGTGTGGACCCGGTTTAATGTAAAAACCGAAAAAAGATAACGGGTTATCGGTCTAGAAGTGTGGACCCGGTTTAATGTAAAAACCGAAAAAAAAAGATAACGAGAGTCGGTACCGCATTGCATGAGTTGCATTGAGTTGTTGAGTCACATTGATATATGACATATGCATGAAGTGATGCTTATGTGTGGATGATGAGATTGTAGAAATTGTAAGTGTATACATAATGTGGGAAGGCTTGTGGATATCCATGTTTGTATATATACATGTGTGGTAATATATATGACTAAGAGAATGAAGTGTGGTGAGAAATGTGAATATGTGTTATATGATTACCTATATATATATAATCTTATGCTTTGATTATTATGGTTATATTTCTCACCCTTCTGCTGTTTTATAATGCTCTATGAGGCATTGCAGATTAGGATGCTGGAGTCCTTTTGTGAAGAATAGTCTTCATTCCTTTGAGTCTACTGCTCTGATATGTAACACCGGGTAGTTAGACTAGTATAGTCATTCTTTTGTGATACATTGCGGCGTATCAGCTGATGTGGTTTTGTAACCTAACTGATATGATATATATTAAACTGGATAGCTTATGTGTACGTGAATTAATATTTGGAACTGATCAAATGATTTTATCTTCCGCTTAAATTGAAAATGTTACATATTTTATGGAGCAAATTGTGAAAGTGTTTTATTGGTGAAATTGTGGCATTCTTCTTTTATACCTGATTATGAAACCTTTTTACTCTGATAACTTGTATGTGCTTAATTGTTTTATATGCAATTATTTGGGGTATAGAAGGGGGTGTTACACTAGAATTCAAACTCATGATCAGGCGCCACTTTTCACCACGGTCAGAAGTTCAACCAGTGGTGAAAAATGGCTTAAAAATAAATAAAAAAACAAAATTGTAGGTGTTAGAATTCGAACGCATGATCAGACATCACTTTTCACCACGGTTGGTACCTATGACTGTTGAAATGTCTTTTAGCAATTACCAACAAAAATAAAGCGCAAAAAAAATTATCACAGTTAATAGAAAGACTGTTGTAAAAGAGTGTTACGGAATGTCTATTTTGTAGTAGTGTTGGAATGATAATATGTTATTAATCTCACAAACTAAAGTTCTTCTTTCTGGATCAGGCTTTGGAACCGAATGTTTCAAGGCATTGCCAGTGTTTTTCCTATCGCGTTTTAGCTTCAGGTGTTGTTGTTTGTTCAGTGTGCAGAGCAGTCTCGTCGGTTCTCTGTTTTTTTTTTTTTTGGCTTTGTGGCTGGTTTGTTGAGCAAGTGCCTCTTGTTGGAATCGTCGTCAGCTTCCTTTGTGTGTCTGTTGGTTTCGGTCAATAGTTTTAGCTTCTAGTTTGATAGAAGGGTAAAATATAATTTAGAATTTATATTATTAGTTATTAGTATTGTTATTGGGCTATTGTTGTAATTGGGCTCTTAACTCATTATCCATTATGAGCATTGTATATGTATTGTCTTTGACACATTTTAGGGTATCAAATGAAAAATCAAGTTTATCATTCCGAGTTTTAGAGCTTTTTCTTAGTTTTAATGCTTTCTTCATAGTTTTGTTAGGTTTATGGTTTTTACTTCCTAACAATTGGTGCTCTCATTTTCGATCTCACTTTCCGCTTTAACTCATGACTATATTATTGTTTAATGGATAAGAAGATGCCTATTGGTGGATTCTTTGTTTTGAGAAATTTTTTAAAGAGCATGGAACACCTCAGTCATTAAAGGTGTTGAAAGCTGTTGGAGCTTTGAGAGGTTTTACTCTCAAATGGTGGATATGGTGGTCTCGTGTTCATCGTAGATATAGTTGGGATACATTTACAACAACTTTAATATGGAGATTCAAACCAGAATGGAGAGAAATTTTGCCAGAAGACGAAGAGGATGATCCAACTCTGAAATCAACTTATGAATCAATGGAGTTCACGGATCCAATCTCTGAAACTGTTGAAGAGGATGTAGAATAATCATCATCATCAGATCTATGTAGAAAATCTCTTAAAAGTGGCACCTTAGATTGAATTTTAGCGGAAACAGAAGAATCAGAAGCAACAGAAGAAAATTGTCCGAAAGAAGAAATAATAACAAAAAGTGTATCTCCGACGACAATTCTGACTCCGACGACAGTTCAGACATCTTCTCCAACAACATTTACCACTCTGACGATATTACCGGTAACTTCTTCAGCGACATTTATCACTCTGTCAATATTTCTGACAACTTCTCCAGTACCATTTTCAAAGTCTTCTCCGTTGAAAATTCCTGCCTCACTTTCGGCGACTACTTCAGCATCAATACAAGAACCATCAGGTCTGCAACCAGAACCGCCAAACCTACCATCGAAACCTTCCGATCTGAAACTGAAACCAAGGTATGAAGCTTTCCAAGTCATTCTGTCAAAAACATCGAGCAAAAATCTCTTCAACAAAGTTTCACATTCGATTAATTCTACTAAAGAAAAATCCTTCAACAAAGTTTCTGTAGTTGAACATGTTTATCTTGGTGGTGATGTTGCTACCATGGATAAGCAAATGTGTCATCTGGGTATTGATGTTCCTGATGAATTCACGTTCCTGTATGTGATTAGAGCTTGTGGTGGTTCTGCAGAGGTTTTAGAGGTTAAGAAGATTCATGGATTGTTGTTTAAGCCTGGGTTGGAATTATATGTTTTTGTTGGAAGTGCTTTGGTTAATACTTACTTGAAATTTGGATTGGTGGCGGATGCACATGAGGTGTTTGAGGAATTTCCTGTTAGAGATTTGGGCAATACAAATACCACACTTTCATTTGCAATCCACGCCTCAGAACAACTAATTGGGGTTTGTGCAGCCAAAACACACAACTTTTCTACAGCCAAAACACACAACTTTTCTACACCGTCTGATCTTCATAAAATTTCTTTGGAAAAATCACGACCATTAAGAGTTTGTTCAAAATATGGTAAAATGCTGGTACTATTTGAAATGTCGACGGGTTTCGCTCTTTTCAAATTTCTCAATGAAGGAGAGCTTTATGAAATTCAGGATTTATCTCTGGTTTTTTCCAGTACTGATGCTGCAAAAAAGGTGGTCACGTCGAAAGCGTTTCCTAAGTTTGAGAATACAATAGAATATCTTGAGGCAGCTAGCTATTTGATTGATGGAAAAGCTAGCACGGGTCTGCGCAAGTTCCTGCACAGTCATTGTGACAATGAGATATTAGTTGTAGTTGATTCAAAGATAGGGTATATCATTAAGGTAAAATTGAAAATTGATTGTGTTCACAATAATGCTGCTATAGAGCTAATGCGAGGTGTTCGATATCGATATCAACTAACAAACCTCATATCAGGTCTGGTTGTTCAAGACATGGCTCCGGTGAGCTTGGGTTTGTCTCATTAGTCTATTAAGATACAAACAGAAGTTTAGTGGAGACAAGGCGGATACCATGATCGTCCAGGCTATTGGTTTACTTGATAATCTTGATAAAGAGTTGAATACATATGCCATGAGGGTCCGAGAATGGTATGGTTGGCATTTTCTAGAGCTTACCAAAATCATTCAGGATGATACCGACTTTGCAAAATCAACATTCAAAGTCTTACATCCACCCCAAGTACCACCGGCGAAACCACCATATTTTATTTTTGACTATGCCAATTGTGTCATACCTCCACCACCCCTTATCATGGTTCTTGATTTTTTCAATTCAATACTCCTTATAGGCCAACTCAACCAAGTCGTAGTTATTGCCACCAGTTGCAATTCATGCTCTTACGTTTACGGTTCATCTTCTAACAAGAACCACACTCCCACTAACGATACAATGCCTGCATTTTATTCCAATCTTCTTCACAATCTCGACAAATTCATCAGTAACCATAAGCAACTAACGATAGCTCATGAACCTGGAACCATTCCGTCTTCACTCTTATTTGGATCATTTTCCAAGGCCTTCTACTATAGACAAAGAACTTTTTATTCAGGACCAATGCATCCTCAACCTTGGATTCTATGTCTGCAAGGATCTCTGATGGGCCTGAACAATACATGGCAATCATGAATGTAATATTCTCTGCTTAGCTTTCTTCAGTTCTTGTAAATTCTTATTATATTGGTTCAAGCAATTCTGCAGTCCTTCAGCAGGCTTCATACATAACTGGTGGCATATATTATAAGCCTCCTCAATTGGATGGGCTTTTTCAATATCTTTTAGTACTGTTTGAAACCGATTTGTATTCTCATGCACTTTTAAGGCTTCTTAAATCTCTGGGTGTGGATTTTTGTGCCTCGAGTTTCTGCCATAAGAAAACAATCGACAGATGCTATGTATGTTTTGTATGCTTATCCATATTCTGCGAGCATCACGACAAATGTTCAATGTGTAACTCTGTTTTTGGCCAGGCTCAATCGGTTGCCGCCTCAATGGAACAATTAAAAGCAAGCAGAAAGTGCTTCTCTTGCTTTGGATTTCCTTCAATGTTGCTTCTCTCGCATTGAAGAATCCCAAAGTCCATCACTTGCCAACCATTTCTTGCCAACCTTTTTTTTCCATTTCAATTATATAAATATTATTAGAACCTTGAGGACAAGGTTCAAGTGAACCCGACAGCAATGATAGAAGGGTAAAATATAATTTAGAATTTATATTATTAGTTATTAGTATTGTTATTAGGCTATTGTTGTAATTGGTCTCTTAACTCATTATCCATTATGAGCATTGTATATGTATTGTCTTTGACACATTTTAGGGTATCAAATGAAAAATCATGTTTATTTTTATCAATTTAGTTTTATCATTTTGAGTTTTAGAGCTTTTTCTTAGTTTTAATGTTTTCTTCGTAGTTTTGTTAGGTTTATGGTTTTTACTTCCTAACATAGTTCAATTTTGTTATCGTTGCGGTTGTCGTGGTTGGAAGCTTAGTCGGCTAAACCTTTTAGTTATGCAGCTGAGTTAATTTTGTTCGGGTGGTTTTGTACAATTTGACTTTGTACTATATTGGCATTTCTCGTGTCTGCATAATTAATTCAATATGTTTTGCTGCTAAAAAAAACTAAAATTATCATCTTACATACTTTCTATTTTTACTTTTTATTTAGATTCTTTCTTTATTTCTCATAAGTTTTTTTGTTAATAGGATATGACTTGTAATTCTCATTATCTCATGGTTGCTTATTAAGCACATAGTCACTATTATTTGGATGAGAATGCGCTATTAATCTCACCAACTAAAATAATCATCTTTTTTTATTGTTAATATATATTTTTTAAAAAAATCCTTGTTAGTATAATTATAATATATAATCAAGATTATACAGATATAACAGGTAAGTGGGCAACAAGCTGCACCACTACTTCTTTTTAAATGACAAAACAAATCTTCTTAAAAACTATATTTATTGTCCTAGGAGACACAACATTACTATGCATGAGCCTTTGTACTCTTTGTAAAATATTTATTACTTATGATACTAGAAAATTAAAAGTATCAAAAGTAAATGGTATAAAAGTATGTTAATTGTTGAAACACATTTTGATGCTTGACCACTTTAGTTGAAGCATCTTTGAGAGTTGTGTGTCTCACATTAAAACCTCCGGTCCTTGATCCCACTAGTGGGGAAACCTTAGTCATGTCTACACATACATGCTTCTTCATGCTCACTAGTACACCAGAACATATGTTAGTCGAAGTGCCGATCTCCTTTTTTGTGGGTCAATAAAAAAATTCACAAACAGTTATTTCTTCACGATACCCAGTACGCCGAAATATATCAAATACAAGTTTAATTTACATGTATTAATAGAGGAATGTTCATGTTTAAATGGATTAAAATAAAAACCACAAATCAATTTAAAATAATAATAAATAAATAAGGTTAATTACTATGCACGGACAATGTAAAAGATTTTACACTGTCAATTCATCACCATCATCCGTTTGCATTACTTTATAAATTATTAAAATAAAAGTCAAACTTTTTTTTTACACCTAACGTCTATAATTAACTGACAGTGTAAAATCCTTTTACACTGTCGGTGTATTTCAATTAAATCCATAAAAAAAACACACTAAAAGTAAAATTTATTGAATACATCGTTGTTGTTTTTTTTAAAAACACTTTATTTAATTGAAATTCAGTTTTAAAATTTTAATCAAATAACATATATAAATTTTAATATTTAATTATTTTTGAAAAAGTTACATTTATTTACTTTATTATTAATATAATATATTGTATTCATATATTATTTGTTGATTTTGATAAATATAATATATTTATTTTACTAGTAAAGAAATTCTATTAAGTTTACTATTTAAATAGATGTTTTTTTTAGCTATGCAAAATAAACTGCAAACACTCCTAGCATCAATTTTTTTTCCCTAGCGAGTATGAAATTAATCTCACTATTTAGATGTGTTACAATATACTAATTTCTTACAATATTCATATAAATTTTAAATAATGAAGTATGATAAAAGGAATATTAAAGAAATATATCCTTTAGAATTTAAATTTATTTTACCAATATAAATGAATATTGTAGTTTATATTTTTAATTTAGTTTTTCTTATAAATTTTTTGTTCTATAAGATAATTTTCTTATTGTTTTTGTGTATTTATTGAGTATCTCAAACTCTTTTATTGTCGAATTCTTCAGTGTGATTTCTACAACAAAGTTTGTTAATGAGAAGGATTTGCATAACATTTGGTTGAAAACGATTTCGGTTGTTGTGGTTCAAACCTTTAAACCTTTGTTTGTGATTCTTTGGCAAATCGCACTAGATGGATAAATTATGTAAATATAACTTTGAAAATATATTTTGTAGTTTTCACATATACAGAGAAAAGAATAGTCGTGTAAAGATTTTCTTATTTTTGAGAATTTTTTTTTAAATAATAGGTTTGCCTTGCTTTTCTTTAAGTTCATTTTCGATTGAGAAGATTTTAGTATAGTTTTCCCTCTCTCTTTTATACCATCATTCTCTTTTATTTATCTAACCTTATTTTTTTATAAAAAAAAATAGTAAGATGTTACTTTACCAAAAAAAAAAAAAATACTTGTAAAAGAGATAAACAATAAAAAAAAAGTAGGGGACTAAAGTTAAAACCACCTTAAAAATTAAAAAATCTAAAATTAATCAAGTTTTCTAAGTTAAACCTAACTTATTTTTCAAGTAACTATCTTTAATACCAATGAAGAGTTTGCAAATTAAAACTAATGTTTCTTATAAGCTTTTGACTTAGTTATAGTTTAAATCTATCTATTTAACATCATTCACAAAATTAGATAGTATATTTTAAATTTAAATGATTTTAATTATTTTATTATATATTTGCACTAAAAATTAATAATATATCAAATTTTAATGACTTTTATCTTATATTTTTTATTTTTAAAGTTCAAATTTCTTATAGAATGATTTATCACATTTTACAAGTGTAATGTTATTTAAAAATAAATACATTATAAATTTTAAGTGTAAAAATATGAAATGAATATTGAAATAAAACTTTAGTTCTATAAATCAATTAAATTAAGTTACCAAAACGGTAACCAATCCTAATTTTTTTAGAGTAATCATATTTGAGATTTATTATTTATATATATATATATATATATATATATATATATATATATATATATATATATATATATATATATATATATATATATATATATATATATATATATATATATATATATATATATATATATATATATATATATATTTTTTTTTTTAGGCCATGTGAAGTATCTTTCAGAACCGTAGGGGGACTCTGAAACCCATTCGTGGTATCTCCATAACCATAGTAAAACTATGAAGTCGTACGAGGAATCCATTAGAACCCTAGTGGGACTCGGAAGCTTTGCGAAAAATGAATTAGAACTCTAATGGGAGTCTGAAGCATTATGGGGTACCCGCCAGAACCCTAACATGACTCTACAACCCTATGATGTATGTGTAAGAATCCTTTGAGAACTCCTAAGCTTACAAGTGAAACCATACATAAAAGTGAAATTCAAACTGAATTACAAGTAAAATTCTAATAAAATTTGAGATCTAGTTCGACAATAGCATAAAAAGCAAAGGTAGAATATAACCAAAATTCATTAATTAAAGAATGAAAAATATTAAAAAGGGCCCCAACAATGAGGGTGAGATTACTTAAATAAATTACAAATAGGAATAAAAATAGAAAATAATATCCTATATGGGGGTACACCTTCAGGTGAGATCTCTATTGGAATAGTCACGACCTCTTCAACAGCCTGGCCAATGGAAGCCACTTCATTGGGAAAAAGGGTTGTCTCTATCTCTTTTTCTAAATGTTGGTCGTTGACATGGTGGTATCTTCCACTAGACGACCATCCACCACCATCTTGAAGTAATGCAACT